GTAGTAAAAATTTGATATAACGAAATTTTATTTTTTTTACTATTTAAATCGATATATCAAGAAAAACTCGTTTTTCCGAATTCTTATTATAACGAATCAAAATCACTAAACCAAAAGGTTCGTTATATCGAGTTCCGACTGTATACAATATAAATAGTTATTATTTACAAGTTTATAAGAATTTTATTTTTTTTCAATTTTATTTTGTTTATATTTACTTTTTTTCTTTGGCTGTATCACATACGATTATTATTTCAAATACTTTGCACTTTGCATAAGATATGACCAAGGATATCTTAGACGACAATGGTAATGTATTTTTTCAAAGAGTTGCTTTTTAGGCATTAGATTTAGGGTTAAGGCTTAGAGTTAGAGCTTGAGCTTAGGTTAAGGTTAGTGATAGGGGTTTAGAGTTTAGGGTTTAAGGTTAGATTAGAGAATTTCAGTTATAAAAATTTCCTTTCTCCACTGAAAAAGGGGGAGCTCAAGGCCATCAGGCTGAGAGATATGGTAACCGCTGTGCTGAAGGCGTTATGAATCAAGTGATAAGGAATATTTAGATACATCAATAACATTCTTGCAAAACCAAAGAAAAAACGTGGCAAAGGATGTTCACTAGGCACTAAGAGATTTAAATCAGCTTGTAAAACTCCTAAATCAAATGCAAAGGGTCAACAACAATATAGAAATGTGGAGAAGTAGGACACTATCAAAAAGATTGCAAGGTACAATCGGATGGTAATTAGTTAGTTTTATGCGAAATGTTTGTATTGGTTTGTATTGAATTATATTGCTTATTTAATAAAACTAGGTAACGGAACCGTTGCGTTCAAATAGTTGATAATTGATCAACTGTAGTACAATACTTATTTGGTAGATCACGTGGGTGGACAGACAGACCTTGCATATATCAGATATGGAGTTCAACCTACGCATACACATGATGATAATAACCACGTGATATGAGGGACATGCGATAAATCGCCATGGCGATGAAAAATAAAATGCTTATTTTATTATTTATATGCTAAATTAACTGATTAAAGTCTCGCGAAAAAAAATACGCAATATTTATGTCACCCCCCGTATCTTATAAGGACTGCGGTAAAGGCAGGTGACGCGTTGGAGTCCAAAAGAAAGGTCATTATTAATTATTAACATTCCAAAGTCAAAAAATTTATAACGGAATCAAACAGATCAGGATCGGATTGTTGTTACTAAGGAAAGTCAGGAATAGGAATTTGGCAATTTCTTTAACGGACGCGTTTAATTGAAAAATAACCAGTCACGTGATCCGCAATTGACAAGTAAAATAATTTATTTATTTATCTTTGAATAAAATAAAGTGAAACTATTTTTAACTACAAAGGAATATTATTTTTCTTGC